GAGGGGCAGAAGCAGCCCAGCATTGGCACAAGGTTACGACACATAGAACAGGTGAATGCGTGGGATCCGAAGTTGCTGCGTGGGAGTGCCAGAGAGTGAGTAGTGTAGGCCAAAGGCCTAAAGAGGTCGCTCAAGGAGATCAAGGGCAGTAGAGTGTGGCCCAGTAATGGGAAGTATGCTAGAGGCCCCTGTGAAAGGGGGACAGAGTGCAAGAGGCGGGGGGGGGAGGGGAGCAGTGAGTGAGAGTGAGTGCGTGTGAAAGAGGTCAACAAAGGACTGAGTTTGGTATTGCTCCCCGGTCTGAGGCCAGCGCAATCTGAGACAGGGGTCACAGTGGAGGGAAGGTTTGAGGCCGTGCACCCCTTGGCATTGGGGTAGTGAATGGGCAGCCTTCTGCTTAATATATCAGAGTAACATTCAAGTTGTGGCAGGCGAGTCAGGGCAGACTGCCCTAGGCAGGTGGGTGGGCTAACTTGAGATCTAGCCCCAGGAAGGCCCCCTGTCACAGGGACATTACCAGCTACCTGTTGATTCTGCCTTTGTCCTAGTCTGCCACAGGGACTGTAGCCAGCATGTGGTCTGCTAGCTAATATACAGACATCTCTCAGCAAGGCAAAGGGGAGGGGGGGAATTCCTGCTTAGCAGTGAGTGGTGAGGGGGAGGGGAGCGGGAGCAGCCTGGACCAGAGGTGCAGCCAGGGAGAAGAGGGGAGGGGCCAGCTCTTCTGTGAAGCAGAGAGCCCCGCCCAGCACAGAGAGCACGCTGGGAGAGTCTGATTTATCTTAAACTAGGAAGCAGTCTGGGACAGATATTGCATAAACTGGTTTGACCCAAATCAGTTAAGTCTGATACTACATTCAACCAGGTTTATCTCAAACCAATTTCAGCCATTTTCAAGCTGGTTTAATGTGCACTGAACGTCTGTTCTGTTACAGGTTTAAGCCAGTTTCAGATCACTTAAACTGGTTTATGTGCAGTGTCTGTCCCTAGCCAATAAGGCAGCTTTGACTCCCTCTGGCCCAGGCCATGAGAGCACACAGTGGCTCCAGTCCATGCCAGACAGCAGTGGTGGTGGCAGCTCAAGCCCCAGGTTGGGATCGGAGCTGGAGCAGCTTTCCTGTCACGGTAGTCTCCCCTGCCTGCACTGCTCTTCCACTCCTGCCCCCGCCCCCCCCACCTCCATTGAATGGGGGAAAAAACCTCATCTTGGACTCAAGTAAATATGGTAACTCTGCACATGATTCACAGGGAGCAGAACAATAAGCAGACTCTGTTTTCTAGCTGCTGCTACTCAATTATATACTTTTTTCATTCTTCCTTTAAAAAATAAGGTGCACATCTTATTCCAGAGCATGTTCTATGTAAAAAATATGGTGCGAATGCAATTCTTACACCTTTTATTCTCTTCCTTTCACAACAGCTTTTTTTTTTTTTTGCTTACTAATCCATACCCATGATATTAGTGTGATTTAAATATTTTCATCTCGCAGAGACTACATTTAGAAACTGTTCCCTTTATCTATTCCCACTATCACAGCTCATTTCTTCCACCTAAAAGAAACCATAATTTCCACTAAATTTGTTAGCTGCCAATCAAGTCTGACATGATTCAACCAAGTTGTGCGTCTGACCTCTGTTGGCCCAAAAGGCAGAGTCTGGAATACTTATGAAATTACTCCCAAATTAGTCACATATTGATTCCCCCACTAATTACATTTTTTTATTATAATTTTAAAAGGTCGAAGAAAACTGGATGTTTCATATTTGAGACTATACATGCCAAATTTCATCCTGCACCACATTTTGTGTCCCCCAGTTGAAGGTGAAGGCTCTATCAATTCCACATATATTTTCAAACTAAAGGCAGCAAACAGTGTACCAATATACTATACTATACACAGGAGCAGCAGCACCTGCCTGCCTGACACACCATGCTGCTCTGCCTCCCACTGGACTCTGGCCTGAGACTTTTTGAGCAACCAGACTACAGAATCCAGGACTGTCCCGGCAATTTTCTTAACAGATTTTAAAAATCTTTAGCATTTGCAAGGAATAAAGACAGAAAAACAAAAACCTGAAAGCATTACCATTCAGCAAACCAGACATTTTTCTGAATACCAATATTACAGTTATTCTGTGCCCAGATGGGCTTACAACACTTAATTCATTGACCAGGAATGAAATTGAGTCCTTCTGCTCTAATAAGCCTCCTTTATCACATTGCTTTCTTCAGATTCTCACTTGCTTATATGACTGATAGGTAGAACTGGAGAAGAGAGCTGGCATCATTCTGCAGGAACATGATTTCTGAATGCTTTCCCCCGCACTGATTTATGGAAGGCAAATACCTTACTAAACAAGCAAACAGCGATCAAATAACTGAGAAAGAAAACAGCAGATCGATTTTGTTGTTTAAAACAGGGTTTACATGCATTTTTCTTTTGGGAGCAAGCCATTAAAGTATTGAATACCAGCCGAGCAAGGTGAAATGCCCACTATCACTTTCGGAAGTTCCGATAACTTATACTACAGTTAGTGAGAGCCATATTGCTACATGCTACAATGTGTCAAAATGTAGTTACATAGTCTCCCATTGATGTTGGGCTAATCTAACCAAACAAACTTTTTTAAAATTAGCTGCAGAGTATGCCATTCTTAACACAACCTGAATAAAGACAGTGGTTTTAATTCAATTTAAAAAGGTTAAGACTTTCTCTACTCATTAAAGTGTATCATGTTGTTCATCCTTCAAATTCAAAGATGACCATGACATCACTGGTTGGTTTGGTTTCTGTGAACACATGAATGGCTGATCAAGCCAATTTGTGCTTTGAACTGTCTATGGCACACTGAGCAAGAGATGCTGCTTTAGGTTGCTTCATCAACAGGAGACATGCTGCTGTTGCGAGATTTACGCAGTTTGTACTTCTGCTCTGCCTCAGCAGTTCTTCTCCGCTGATAGATGGTAGTTCCAGGATGGATGAGGCTTTGCCAAGTGGAGTGATCATGAGCAAGATCCTTCTAGGACTGTTGAAATGTTTCAAGGATGACTTGAGGGAGTCCTTGAAGCATTTCTTCTGGCTTCTCTCAGAGCGCTTTCCCTCCTTATCTAACTGTAAAAGATCTTTTTTGCTAGTCACTCATCCGACATCCTGGTGACATGGCCTGCCCATCTCATCTGTGATTTCATTAACAGAGTGTGGAAGTTTGGAATGCCTGCCCATGTGAGAACCTCAGTGTCTGGGACCTTGTACTGCCATCTTAACCTCGCCGGTTTCCTCAGAAAGCCCAGGTGGAAGTGGCTCAGCTTCATAGCACAGCATCTGTACACCATCCAAGTTTCGCATTCATACATCAGGTTTGGCAACACAATGGCTTTGTAGACAGTCAGTTTTCTTTACTGATTGATGCCTCTGCACTCCCACATATTTGCAGGTAGTCTGCCGAAGGTCACACTTGCTTTAGCAATTCTGGCATTGGTTTCATAACCTGTGTAACTCTGCGTGACAGTGTACTGCTGAGGCAGGTGAATTTCCACTGCCTGGAGGGTTTGGAAGTTCACTGTGATGGCAGGCTCTACGGAAGGCTTTCCCGGTCCAGGCTGCTGCATGGTTTCTGTCATCTTAGTGTTGATTGTGAAACCAAGCTGAAGAGACATGGTCCATACTCGGTTGAGTATCAGACTCAGATTTGGCATTCAGGGAAGTCATCAGCAAACGGAAGATCACAAACAGTCACTTCCTGTAACTTTGTCTGTGCCTGTAGCGTCCTCAAATTGAAGAGTTTGCCGTAAGTCCTGTAACTGATGTGAATCCCAGTGTCACAATCGTGAAAGGCATCTGTGAGCATGGCAGCAAACATCATACTGAAGAGGGGTGGGGCCAACACACAGTCCTGCTTGACTCCACTGGTGACTGGAAATGGTTCAGATGATTCACTGTCATCCACAAAGCAAGTGAGCATGTAATCATGGAACTCCTGAACCATAGCAATGAATTTCTCTGGGCAACTGAATTTTGCCATGATCTTCCAAAGACCTTTCCAGCTGACTGTATCAAATGCTTTTGTTAGGTCAATTAAAGTCATGTACAGGTTGGAGCTCTGTTCCTGGCATCTCCTGAAGTTGACAAGCTGCAAACACCATGTCTATGGTCCTGCGTCCTTTCCTGAAACCATGCTGATTTTCATTCAACTCATTCTTCCTAGCCAGAAAGTATCAGACACTACAACTGATACTCAGGCAAGAGCTCTTGTTTAATGCCTTGCACAAGGCGATTCAACAGAGTTCTAGCAAGGATTTTACCAGCTACTGACAGCAAGGAGATGCCCCAATGGTTGTTGCAGGATTATCTATTGCCCTTCTGCTTGTATAAGTGGACGATGGATGCATCCTTCTACTCCTGTACCTTGAGTCCACAGTGACTGGAAGAGTTCAGGCAGGTTCAAAGCCACATGCGAGCCTCCAGCCTTGTAGACCTCTGCTGGTATAGCATCTGCTCCAGGTGCTTGAGTGTGTTTATGGGGAGATATAGCCATGTCATGACTTCTGTGTGAATTGGATTTAAGTGAGGGAAAGTTGCACAGGCCTGTCTGAATCCAGTGGCATGACAGAGTCAAGACATCAGTGGATACAAATTTGGATGCAGTGGACAGCCATCAAGTCCTGCAGCACCTGAAATGATGCCCTACACTCTTCACACAGCTCTTACCATCTGCCTTCACAGCTGGGGAGATGAGCATATCTGGTTGGCCACCTGATCCACCAGAGAGAACTTTCCAGAGGGAGCCAGGTGTAGCTGTTCACTCTGGTCAACAGTCTAGCCCTACCCTTACATTAACTTGTGAACTGTTAGTAATTCAACTCATTTCTTCCTAGCCAGAAAGTCAGACACTACAACTGATACTCCTTTCTAACCTCAAGAGGGCACTCTTTTCCATCTTAATACCTGACACAGTATCTCAAGCTGCAAAATTATATACATGTGTTTTTAGTTACTTACCTAGAGTCCATGCAAAATAGTATTTGGGTCTGGCAGCCATAAGAGACACATACAGGTAGAGAATCCTTATAGGCCAAGATGCTGTAGCTCTGAAGTTATCATCAATATTATATTCCACAGGTAAAGTCTTTGTAACAGTCAGATGAATTAATAAAGACAGTCCACAGACTAAGAGTTTCTGTATCACGGCTATCTGAAAAGTTTAAGAAAAGAGATTTTGTAAGCTTCAGCTTTGATTAATCTTTCTGAACAAAGGAAATGTATAACCTTCCCTAAATAGCATACTAATGTGCCAGTTCCTAAAATAACATGCATTACTAACATTTTACAGTTGGTGTCTGTTTACATGCTCAAAGAGAAAAGGAAATATTCTCGATTTATGCTGTGACCACCCCTATTTAAAGAAAACATATTACGAAGTCTGACAGCAGTTAGGGGCCTGAAAAATCCCTTCAGTAATGAGAACCCCCGACATACTTCCACTTTCTTATATCAGGATCAGGAATTATCTAAATGGGTATAAAATTAAGACATCATTACCAAGCTATACTATATGCTATAGGTCACTTGAGTATATGCTACAATAAGGCTATTTCCCAAAATCACATATAGGCATTGGCAAAGCATTCCTATGTTCGCATTTAACAACACATCACTCAAAAATTAGTTTGAGCTTACAAGTATCAATAGGTTCTTATCTGCAGTTTATTTTTGATAGCTGTTGACAAGGTACACAGGTATTGCTTAAGTCAATGAATACAGCATCTCTCCCTGATAGTTCATACCATTATGAATTATCATCAAAACACTGAAACTTTATTTGGGAATTGAGAGAGAGAAGTTTAGCTTTTGTTTTTTGGGGTCTTTTGGCAGCTAGAATGACTGAGAGAAAAGGTCAAGAAACTTACCCCTTCCCCTCCAAAGCCATACACAGTATGTGGCCCACATGGGTTACAAGGATAGATTCCTTCCACACCCCCATTCTTTCTTTTAACCATTATGCTAAACAGCACTCTTTTTTAAAAAAAAGATGCATTACTTAGGTTTCATTATAAAATGCACAAAAGTGGTATGCACATTACATAAAATATTTTAATTAACTGTCCACTCCACATTCCAAAGGCTACAAGTACCATGTGATATACAATTTGCTAAGCTTGCAAGGCATTAATATACCAGTGAAACACCCATTGTTTCAAAGCACAAGTTTGTTATTGATGCAGATGCAGTCACTTCAGCATTCAAAATTCTGTGTCTCAGTCATTTAATCCACATCATTAAACTGTGAATGTACTTTTACCATTAGAATTCTATCTGCATCAAAGTTGTTAGAAAAATAACCCACTATGGCCTCTTTTGGCCAAAAGTGTCAGAATACATAGGAAATATAGAATTTCCCATACACTCTGAAAAGTTGTTATCTTTCATAATCTAGTTATTCATATGGAAATCTAAGTTTCAAAGTAATGTGATATGGACCCTAATTATTGTCATTTTCCAACCCCCTGTGCTCCATTTTCTCATTTATATTTAATCACTGTGTTCTCTTCTGTGCCCTTTGTTACAGTAATGGTGTTCATTTGCTGATATTCTATTTAGCTGTGGGACAGGAAAAAGATTTCTATAATCCTAGTTTTTGATATGCCAGCCAAGAGGCAGCAAGCACTTTAAAGATATACATTTTAGCAGTTTCATGTTGCTGGCCTACCTGCAAGGTACAGGCTGTCCTTGACACTCACAACCTTTGTAAATTACGACACTGTTTCAAGGTTCTGATGGGGTTGGTGAGTCTGTTGTGGTGGGGGGTGGGGGGGCAGATCAACACCCCCGCAGCGAGGGAGGGATTGGAGCTGAGGCTGGGACAGGGGCTGCCCAGCAGGTGAGGGGGTGCAGCTCCCACCACTGCACACCACTGGTCCAGGAGGGGCATGTGCCCCCGGATCTGGGTGGGGCAGGCAGAGCCAGGGCTACATTCTGGGGGAGTGGCAGAAAGCTCTGGCAGCAGAGACTATGTCCTGCTGCTCGCCCAGCCACAGCAGCACAGAGCTGCTGCACCGCACTGCCTCCGGACAAGCGGCACGCACTGGGCAGAGCCGCCCCAACCTCCCCGTGCCTCCGAGCCCCACCCAACCCGGGGCGAGCAGTGGCAAGGCATGGGGATGCATGTGCCCCTGGATCTGTGCGGGGCGGGCAGGATCAGGGCTGTGCTCCTGGTGGGTAGTGGGGGCTATGGCAAATTTTAGGGTGGCTACAGCCCCGCCATCGCCCCACCTCCGTCGCCCACCCTGCCCTGATCCGGAGGCGCACTCCTCCTTCCCCCAATGCCCTGCAACTGCCGCCACTTGCCCAGCCAAGGTGGGGCAAAGCCACAGCTCATCTGGGAGGTGCGAAGAGGTGGGGGCGGCTCTGGATGCACTGCGCCGCTTGTCTATAGGCAATGCAGCAGCTCTGCCTCACCCCAGCTTGGCACACGGCAGGAGAGCATAGCCCCCGCTCCCAGTGCTTTCCACCACCCGCCTGGACTGCAGCCCCAGCCCTGGCTGCCCCGTGCAGATCCCCTGCATGTTTCCCCTGCCTCCCATGTCCTCCCGGACCAGCAGTGGGAGCAGTGGTGAGAGCCGCCGGATGAGCCATCAGACAAGCAGCTCCTGGACCAGTGGGCCACAGTGGCAGGAGCTGCCTACGCCCTTCCCCGTGACCACCACCTACCCACCCTGGCTGGGCAGCCCTTGCCCCAGCCCCTGTCCTAGCCCCAACCCCAATCCCTCCCTCGCTGCATGGGCATTGATCTTACCAGATGGAGGCAGTTGTATTAAGCATGTTAAAGGAACCAATCCCCCATTTATAACATTGTTCCTATAGGAAAATTGGTTCCAAGTTATGTTGCAACTTAAGACATGGTTTTCAGGAACCAATTGTGTCATTAAGTCTGAGGACTGCCTGTATAATAAGAAGCCCAATGGATAATTAAACACTCCTCTAGTACTCCATAGATATTGCTGCTTCCAGCACATCAAATATAACTGTCACTGAGAACATGGTATAGACTTCTTCTAAAGGCTAAATTTTCTTGAAATAAAAAAAAACCCCATCTGTTCTTACAGACTTTAGACCTTTACTATGTATGAAAATGGTATGATACAAAAGATTTATTAAACAAGAGAAGTTTAACAGATATTAGGTTTTGGGATCCATTCTTTAGTATAGCAGGAAAGAGATGCTAGGGAATCCCTTATAACATTGGCTTTATTTCCTCTTATATATAGATTTAGTATTTCCTTCCTTTCAGCCCTACGTTACAAATGGAATTCAAAAGCAAGAATGCTCACTATATAATGAAATCAAATTTGATACGTAAAAGGTTGGACAAAATTATAAGAAAGATTTTGAATGCCAGTATTTTTACATCAGAAATACTTCACATGGGTTTTCCATGTGTTAACTAATGTTGCAAGTTTTTCTAAAGTAATGCTGTAATGCTGAAAAATCCTGTAAGTAGCTCAATAAAATATTGATCTCTCCTTTTTAGAAAGGAAAATCTCCATTGTACAATAGTAAGAGTAAGTATATGAAAAAAGAATACAAAATATAAGTAAAAATGCAGTAGCATGTGAAAAAGGAATTGAGAATGAGTAAAAATGCAATAGCAGTGGCAAGCATAAGGTTAAAATATTTACATTAAGAAATCTCTCATTTTGGCTTTCACAAACATTTGAGAGGGAGGTCCCTTTGGATTCTCTCTCTCTCTTTTTTTTGGCAATCTGGAAACACACATATTTTCAATTATATAATTTTTTATATGTATACCCAATTTTCAGATCGGTATAATTTTTACCTTAATTTCTTTAACTAAATGATGCAAGTGATAAGTATTTACTACTTTATCAATTTTGAAATTAGCAATATTGTTTTATTTAATAAAGAAATATGTGAATCGCTTTCATAAATCAAGCCAATGAACTCAAGAAATACTGATATTCATATGGTTAGTCATTCTTAAGTGAATGGCTACCATACTTAAATCAATGTTCTATGTGATACAAAAGAGGTGATAATTTATTAGGAGAAGATACAAGCCTCAAGAAAAAAAAAAAAAAACTTAGAACATTTACTTAAGAGGAAGAACTCTCAAAGGCTTTGGTCAGCAACAACTCAACAAAGCTTTAATCCTTTCACAAAACAAATGTTTTATATTAGCCTGCAGCCTGATTGCTTGTTTTCCAAAATTAATTTTTAAATCTTTTGTTTTAAGACTGTACAAATACTTGAGATTCCACATTCAATCTTCCTTAACACACCGTAGATACAAAATAAAGCCTAAATAATAAGATATCATTATACACGTGAAAGAGGGCTCATACAAAAATTTCAACATATAGTCCATGTTGTGAAAGGATTACAGCAATAAACCTTATTACTTTTAAATTTAAAACTTCCCCTTTAAAACAGAAAAGGCAAGTTTATTCAAAATGCTACGGAAACCTCAGAGGCAGTTAAAATAGTCGGATTTGGCATTAGGTTCTGAGCCTTGTGCCAGTGTATTTTAAATGCCATTCCAGGACAGAACACCACATCCCCGTTCAGGCCAGTTGTCACTAGATTGAATAGAATGCCAACCCAGGCCAGGCAGAACACAAACTATACTCACAGCCTGCAAATGGTCTGTACTAAAGCCTACACTGAAGGATCACATGGCAGATGTATCATTTAAAAATATAAAAATTACTGTAGTTATAGTATCCAAATCCAGGTTTAAAGCCAATTAAACCTAGAAAATAATTTTGTATGCTTGACTAAACTTAGCATATTAAACAGAAGTTTTTCTGAACTTCTAATGCATGGTATTTTTTGTTTGTTTGTTTAAATCAGGGTGCTCAATCACCTGTGGACCAGATACGGCCCCCAGAGTCAGGGCATCTGGTCCATGGGTCTTCCTGCAGGTCAGGAAGTTTGGCAGCAAGGGAGCAGTGGCAATACTGCCCCGCTTCCAAATTCCACCTCCCCCCTCCACCAGGGCTGGGTTGGGGCCAGGCCACACCCTTCCCTCCCCTGGTGGCCAGGCTGGGGTTTGGCTGGGCCAGGCGCCCATGTGGAGGCTGGATCAGGCTATGCCCTCTTCCCCACGTGGCTGGATGGGGCCCTGCCGAGCCACCTCAGACCACACCTCCTTGCCCCTGCAGGGTCAGGTTGCTT